CTTGTATTTGGTGGGAGTGGTTTTTCTTTAAAAATTATGTATGTTAGTTTTAGTCTAGATTTTTTTTCGCTAGATGGTAATATTCATTCTATCATCATTTTCATTTCTCTATGAGTAATCGAACGCTTTTATTGCACCAGCGAGTTCTTATAAATGGCTATCCCTTGCTATTATTCTTTATCGAAGGCCACTACAGAGATCAGGCTGAGAAAACTATTTCTTTTACCGTTTGCCCCCGCTAAAATCCTTGTTTTGTAAACCGTTCATCTGATTTTTTTTTTAACGATACTCCTACCCCTCCCTCTCGTTTGAATTTTAACTGGAGAGTTAGGGTGTGTACCTTATCTATCTGGAACTAAATGAACAGCGTAATCAAACCATTGCTGTACTGAAAAACTTATATGACTATCACAGTTTACGTCCTCCTACCAGTTGTTTGGTATTTTTGGCTGACACCGCTATTATAACAATTGAAATTTGACTACTACACTCTTGATAGTTAATTTTATTTTGCCCGCTTGGGCATTTTGTACTGAGTGTGTGTGTGTAATCCGTTTTCTGATCCCCGCTGTTGCCAATGGGTTGCTGTCAACTGTTTCCATCTCAATACACTCTCAAACTTTCCTTGTCTCATTCGAATAGAATGAAACTTCGTTAATTTGGTTTCAAATGCCACCGTTTGATGTGCCCTTGGAAAAGTAACCAGGAGTTGGTGTCTTTGAAACTGATTATTTGCTGACATTAAACTTTTTGAGTAGGGATTATCAAAGATCGGGTTTTCAACGTTGTCCAGTCACACTCACTGGTTCAATTTAAAACAAAATGTACTCCCAAATGTGTTTAAAAAGCCATGAAATCCTTACTAAAAATCAAACCAAGATATTAATACGTCTCTCAATATTGAGATCAGTACACGCATTGTATGTGTGTATATGGTATGCTGACGTCACAAGTTGCAAGCATATCTTTAGACTCTTAAAATTCGAAGAACAATGAAAAATTGCTGTTTTTTTTCTGTTGTTATGAATGGACTATATTCACTGGTGGTCGTTCATTTGTTATTCATGGAGAAGGAGCAGTACATATATTGTAATGATAGTCACTTAAATTTTGCTTTTCAACAAAACACCGGTTAAAGTCATATGTAGTGTGTTAAATGCATCTAGCAATATTTAGCGTTCACTATTATAGTAGTTAAGTAGCTGCAGATACAGCAATAAACATCAGTTCTTGAATCTCACTTCTGAAAAATTAAATCAGTCTGTACTCAGTGGTAGAACCCTCACCAATAAGTCAGTTTGTTGGTTCAAGTCTCACTGTTGAAAATTAAACACAATAGGTATCCAGATCAGTGTGATGCTAAAGGAATGCTACATTGTTGGAAGTTCCTTTTTTTCATACGGGATGTAAAAAGAGGCCCCATTTGATATATTGGGTGAATGTAGAAGATTTATAACATCTTTTGGAATAAGAACAGACAAGTTCCCCTTGGTGTTCTGGCTAATATTTATCCTTCAACTATCACTAGACAGACTATCGAGTCATTATTTTATGGAAGATTGTGTGACCTTGCTGTTCGCCAGTTGCCTACTAAGTTACCACAGTGACTACATTCAGTGTTTACTTGACTGTAAAGAGTTTGGGGCACCCTGAGTTTACAAAAGGTGCTGGATAAATGCAAGTTCTTTCAAACAATAGACTGATGATGAGATGTTAAAAAAAAAAAATTTGTGTAAACTTTAGGTAATTGTGATTTCTCATTTGTCTTGAATGAGCAGTTTTTGATGATTTTATTTCTCTTGAATTCCAGTGATATTCAAAATAAAAGTTTTTGTTTACCGATTTTCTCCAATATGCCTGGGTATTTTGTAGTCCAAGGTTTGCAAACTCATTTTCTCTGTCCTTGTATTAAAATCTAGGTTTTCAAATTGCAAATAGAATTTGGTTTTAATGAACATTAATTATAAGCTTCATTTTTAAACAAATCCTAACTTTGAGAATTGATGGTAGTGTCCTGGCGAGTGTTTCTGAACAAAGAGACCTAGGGATGCAGATTCATAGTTCCTCTAAAGTGGAGTCACAAATAGACAGGATGATGAAGAAGGCATTTGGCATGTTTGTCTTTATTGGTCAGAACATTGAGTGTAGCAGTTGAGACGCCATGCTGTGGTTGTACAGGACACTGGAGAGGCCACTTTTAGAATACTACACACAATTCTGGTCATCCTTCTATAGCAAGGACATTGTTAAATTTGAGAAGGCGCAGATTTACAAGGATGTTGCAGTGACTGGAGGATTTGAGCCACAGGGAGAGGCTGCATAGGCTGGGGCTTTTTTCCCTGGAGTGTCGGAGGCCGAGGGGTGACCTTACAGAAGTTTATAAAATAATGAGATGCGTGGATAGGGTGAATAGTCAGGTCTTTCCCCTAAGGTGGGGAAGTCCAAAATTAGAGGGTTTAAGGTGAGAGTGATTTTAAAACGTTTAAAAAGATTTAAAAGGGACGAGAGGGGTAACTTTGTTACGCACAGGGTGATGCATGTATGGAATGAGCTGCCAGAGGAAGTGGTCTAGGCTGGTACAATTACAACATTTAAAATGCATCTGGATGGGTATGAATAGGAATCATTTAGAGGGACATGGGCCATATGCTGGCAAATGGGACTAGGTCATATTGGGATGTCTGGTTGGTGCAGACCAGTTGGACTGAAGGGTCTGTTTCTGTGCTGTATGACTGAACAGCCATCCCTCCAGGCTTCCACTTCCAATAAGAGGAATTGTATTTTGTGAAGAGGTTTAATTTTATCCACATGCACAAAAAATAATCAGCTACTGCATTTAAAATCTGTCACAATTTTTCTAAGAAAGAAAACTTTCTGCTTCCATATATCTAATCAAATATCTTGTTGCTCATCCGCATGCTTTGTTTCAAGCTAAAAAGATATAACAAAAACCTTACCAGCAGAAATAGGAAACAAAAGTATGAATCATATGTTATTCTTATCTGTGGGTGATGGTAGAAGAGTGAAGTTCACAAGTAGCACTTTATTTGGACAGAGATCTTGAAATCAAAATCTTCAGTCACCAGGGAGAAAAAAAGAGGAAAGAACAGAATAAAATGCCCAGAATCACAAAGGGCAGGAAGTCTGAATAATTCAGTAAAGAGAAACATTTGGCACAACTTTATTGAAGCTGATTTAAAAGGCTATGGAATATTGGTCTCTATACCTCAAGAGAGCTGTAATACAAAGAGGTACAAGTAATGTTACAGTTGAACAAAGCTCTGATTTAGGACCCAGCAAAAGGCACTCAGAATATCAATGGAAGATTAAAGATCATTTGAAGATGATTAAAATAGGCTAGTAAGAGCACACTGTTTGCTCTGGTGAAAGAACACAGAACTAGGGAACACAACCTTAAAAATAGAGCTCAGCTGTTCATAGGTGAGGTCTGCAAGCAGTTCTTCACACAATGGCTAACGGAAGTCCAGAACCCTCTCCCAAAAAGCTGTTGACTTTGGCTCTGTTGAACGTTTCAGAACTGAGATTGATAGATTTTTGTTAGGCAATGGCATATATGGAATTAAGATACAGATCCATCATGATCTTATTGAGTCACAGGAGAGGCTTAAAGGGCTGAATGGCCTACTCCTGTTCCTATGTCACAATAGAGAACACAAAACACAGTGCACAATCAATTCCTGTCTTTACATTTATGAGGGCAGAACTTGTATACTGCATCTGCTGCAGTGGCAGATACCACAAATTGTCTACGCTCTTTGTCAATAGAATGTTTGTTTCCAGTTAATTGCATTAGACAGATGGCACATACATCAGGCACCTGAAGCCTGCTCAGCCCAATTACCCGGCCAGTGGTTCTATATTTTAATTCAGTAAAGTGATGCTGTTGGTAGTACTATAATGTTAGTGATTCTGCATCAGTCAACTACTTGTTTTCAGTAGAATTCTTGTATTTGTTGCTTCTTAACTGGAAATGAATTGACTTGTGGCTCCCTGCATTCAATCTATTCTAATCTGATGGCATTTCCAAGCAGTACTTGGCATGTCTAACAAACTGTTGAATTTCACCCTTGTAATTGATTTACTGAGACTCCTTTGACTGATTCACAAGTGGATGAAAAGCCTCACTATAACATTTGGCACTTTTAGCTTATAATCTAACTGTAACTAATACAGTGTACGTTACAATCTCTATTCCAGGTCTGA